AGAAGTACATGAAGACTAGCTATAGTAGCCAAACAGTAACTAATTGAGTAGCTAAAAACAGCAACAGGTTGACTTAAAAATAGTATAAAATAGCTAAGAACTATAAGTAACAAAAGACAAGCTAAAACCTAAAGAAGCAGAACACTAGCTAGAAGCTAAAAGTACATAAAGTCTAACTGCAGTAGTCAAACAGTAGCTAACTGAAGCAGAAGAGTAGCTAAAAGTATTAAAAAAGCTAGGTAAAATCAAAAACTAGTGTACAAAGCTTTCAAACTGCACAGTTGTTTTTGAAAGAAATGAGGAAATATTTGTTTATTTCTCTAAAAATATTTAAAATACAGTTTAAAATAAAAAAGAAAATAATAAAAGAAAAATAACTAAAGTCACAGCACTCATTGCCTGAAAGATTAAAGGTTTTGATAAATGGCTAAAATGGTACAAAGTATGCAGAAGTAGTTAAATTAGGGAGGAAAAACAACAATAACTTAAATAATATAACCTGTAGCTCTTCAGGTTTTCAAAGGTTGTTTCATGTTAAAGTGATGCAGAGGTCAGACGCCTGCAGACCTGTCTGCAGCCTGGCGGCGCTGCAGAGGCTGCAGCTCGCTCTGTGTTTATGTGTGCAGCTGTAAATTCTGGACGTCGTATAGAAACGTCACAGCTGTCACCGGGCGTGTGCGTCCATATTTCACACCGGTGCGAGGCCAGAACCSCTGCAGCTGGAGGTGCACCTTATACGGAGATTTCTGGGTTCTTTTAGTTTGTGAAACAACAATATTAACATCTGGCAACTCTGAGCAGGAGAGAGTAGATAAGTTTTATGTTATGGTGATCTTTGAAAAGAAAACTTGAAAATGTGCCGCAGGATATGTTGAAGTGCAGCAGGTGGGTGGATTTATAAGAATAAATAAAAAAGGAATATATAAATTAATAAAAACATATTTTTTTTACTGATGCAATGTTTGCTCTCAGGTTTGTCACAGTTTACATACTTGGCACAAAGTGAGGAAATTAGTGTGTGTTCGATTATTTGTTGTAACAATGCTTCTTAGCAATAAATCTTAAAGTGTTGGAAAGTCTGTTATTTTCTATTTTAAATGGTGCCACATTTGTAAGGATCATGCATTTTTTAAGATGAGCAGTAGAGCTGAGCATGTGTTTTGTGCACATGAAAATTTGCCCAAGTCTTCTCTGTCAAGCAGCTTATTTTGTTTTATTTTGTTTTGTTTTGTTATTGACTCTTGTTTTGAGCTCCAGGTGCTGCTATAAGATTTATTGCCAGGGAGCATCTTTACAAAGAAATCTACCAAACACTAATTTAGCTAAGTTTATTTAATAACACAACGTCTTAGATTTACTGTAAACTAATAGTTTTTATATTAAAGATATTTGTTGTCATGAAGACTAATTCAAAGAAAAAAAATCTCTTTTTATTTATTTTTCTTTTATTGTTAAGCAYTATGCTTTTAATCAGGCGAAACTCCCACATGTGTTTGTTTACCTTCAAGTGCCCGTAATGTCAAATTTTTGTAATAAACATGAATACATTTTTGGAAAGATAACATTGATAACGTATTGCAAAACAAATTTCCCGTTGCGGAGATGAACGGTTGTTGAGATGTGTGAAGAAACAGGAAGTGATGTCAAAGGGGAATGTCAGCATGTAAACAGAGCGTTGTTACAAAAGCTAAAAACACAGACTGTAGAGACAAATTTGATGTTTCTTTAGATTATTTTTAGTCACTATCAAAGGCATGAAGAAGTGTTAGTTTTAAAAATTTTGTTTTAATAAACCGAGACCAGCGAGTTTTATTAATTCCCCCGAGTTCCCCCTTTGATGTCACTTCCTGTTTCACTTTGGCTGAGCCAAATTTAAAAGAAAATAGGCCAGTTATGTGACAAAATGGGTAAAATCATGTGTATTACGCCAATTTTCTTAAGTATAAAGATGCTTTTCTTGACTTTTTGTATTTGAAGGATAGGCATCACAGGCACTTTAACAGCCASAGTGACAGACAGTAACAACCGTTTGATTGGATTGTTACTAATTTCTGCAGATTAAAAAGTGTTTTGTTTATGTWCAGTGTGGACCTGCATTTCAGAGCTGCATATGGATGTGGATTAAACTCCTTCAAACTGCATCAWTTTAAGATTTTCTGTTTGTTTTCACAGTTTGTATTAAGTAACTTWGTGTTTCTGTGTGATTGGAGCCGTTTCTTCCTCCGTGCTGCAGCTCTGTTTGACTGACGGATCACAGATGAGCTGCAGCTTCTTCTCTGACGGACAGCTTCATGTCACCTGGACCTCTCGTCCCTCTTAAGTCCTGTTAAATCAGCTTGTAGTGGTTTGGTGTCACCTGAAGCTGACGGCAGCAGGTGCAGGCAGTCTCTGCCTCTGTGTGACATTTCTCCAGGTTTCTGCTCTCTGCTCCGTCTCTGCAGGATGTTAGATTCCCTATCAGAGATGCTAATTACTGCCATGTGCCTTTCCTTCACGCTGCCAGAGTCTCGGCGCTGCCACCGTCACGGATGACGTCTGCGCCCGCAGTCGGTCTCCTGATCTCAGCCAGTCTGTCACATGTTTGTGTGTTTAAGCAGGATTTGTCAGGTCAGCTGCAGAAACAGATTTTTTTTTTCACGTTGGACAGATCAGCTGCCGGTTTAGTGTCACTTGSGTCCGTTTCAGTTATTTCCCTGCAGCTTAAAACCGACAGCTTTCCTCTCTGCCTCGTTTCATTTATTTTACCCTCTCGCTGTTAGGACTTCTGTCTGTGCAAGATGCACATCTCATGGCTTATCAGTTTCATTTCTTACAAAAAATATCAGACAGTGTTGAAAAATACAAACTCATTTAGGCTGCAGGAACTTTTAAAGGAGCGGAGGTTCGAGACAAACAATTAAAATAATAAAACTAAAACCTTCTGATGATCTGATTGGTTACATTTAAAACCCTGAAATAAAAAATAGCAATAATGACTTTAAATATAGGAAAACTTGTTGTTTTTGTAGAATATATTCACTTGTAGCAGAAATTACAGACTTCATTCAACCTAATTTAAGAAAATTCTTTAAGTTTCCCCAATGGGATCAATAAAGTATCTATCGACCGACCGTCCGTTTGTGTTTTAATGAATTTTAGCACAAATCAAATTTGAGTTTTTTTCACTTTAGCTTTAAACTATTAAAATAAATCTAAAAACATTTTACCTTCTTTTTCTTCAGTTCTTAGTCTTTACCGTGTTGTCGCCCTCTTCTCTTCTCCTCACATTCTGCATCTAAACTTCTCTGCACCCTTGTTCCTTTGAGGTTTACAATCTGTTTATCTGATGTGCAGTTTGTCCGTTCTGAGAGGAGCAGCTCATATGGACTTTATATAAAAAAAAACATGCCAAGATCAGATAAAGAGCACATTAAAACATGTAGGGTGGAATGAAATAAATAAAAACAGAGTTCAACTACTAGGGCTGTGCAGAAAAATCAATATATTGATATTTATATGAATTTTCTTTCTTCTAATAACYATACATCCCCCCAGCCTTTAGGGGGCGGTATAACGATGCATGATCCCTGTTCAATCCTTAAAGGGCAAACGTTTGGACACATTTTGTTTTTTATGATTATAAATATACAATATAATTTTATAATATTGTGCAGGTTTCGTTAAAGGGGACATATCTGCAAAATCCACTTTTTTAGTTGTTAAATACATTTTGTTGTGGACTTGGAGTCTCTAGGAGGCAGAAAAGTTGAATTTAGTCTCTCCTGGTGCTGCAGAGATATCTTTATTTTCTGTTTGGGTCACAATTTTCAGCTCGTTCAGTTTTCTCTGTTTTCTATGACGTTTTCTGAACTATTACGTCAAACTATCTGTGATGGAATTACCATAAGGTCTGAATTTACTGACTACAATTTCCTTGTCTTCATTCTCCTCTGGTTCTGGGTCAGACTCTGGTTCTGGGTCAGACTCAGGTTCTGGGTCAGACTCAGGTTCTGGATCAGACTCTGGTTCTGGGTCAGACTCTGGTTCTGGGTCAGACTCTGGTTCTGGATCAGACTGGTTCCAACATGTAAGGCTGGATGAACAAATCTCTTCTGTTATTGACATGTTTTAATGAAATTGTAGATAAAACATGTCTGTATTGCTAGAAAACGTAAACCTCTCTCTCAAACCGGAGTGGACTGGTCTGGAAGCAGGAGGGGGCGGGGCTTAAAGCATCTTAAAGGAACAGTAACAAAAACAGCTGGTTTGAGACACACACAAAAAGTGGTGAAAGAGGAGCTGGTAAAGTTAGAATATAGTATAAAAATATAAAAGTATAAAATATGTATAAAAATCGTGTCTAATTGCCATGTCCTAGGTGATACCCAGCCTTGTCAACCACCATAAAAGCTGTTATGGCTGCAGTTTTCCTGTCAGCTCAGCTGGAGTTAAACTCATTTTTTATAAACTGATGAGTCATCTCTAGTTATTTTTATTAGAGATTATCTTATTATTTACTTTACACTCGCTTCCCAAAAGATATATCTGGCGAGAGTCAAACTCCTGCATGTTGGAACTTAATTCCAATAATTATTTTAACTCTGACGTTCTGGACCCAGATGTGCMCTGCTCTGTGGAAATCTGCTGATGGTTTGATTAATCACTGCAGGACTTTGTCCGGTCAGAAGGTTCTGTGAGTGGTGGATTAAATGCGCTGTGGAAATTTTTTGGATTCCCGTTGTTTGCACATCCCATCATAGTCACACGTTGCACCCAAAGCTGCAGCATCTGGTCCTGGTTGAGTGAAGCAGAATGTGAAACATTTACCTTATTCTTGTTTTTAAGTGTTAAACTGCAGCTTTTTCTTTTAAAAAGACGTTTATTTCAGAGTTTCTCATTTGTTTTATTAAATACATTTTTTATTGACGTGGAATGAATCTTAAAATAGTTTTAGAAAGCCCAAAGCCTGATGATTCTGTACCATCAGGAAAGAATAAAACATTTCTCTGTTTCTCCTGCAGGTGACATCACACAGAAGGGTTATGAGAAGAAGCGATGCAAGTTGATCGGAGCCTTCTTCCCTCAAACACAAGGTAAAACTGACCCTTCAAAATAAACAAAGTCAAAATGATAATAAAGAGTAAACCTGTCCAGGAGAGGAGGGAGAAATGGTTCTTTGGAGAAGTTATAAACAATATCTGACCTGCTGCAGATATCTTTTTAAGACCGTTGCTTTTATCAAAAAGTATTAGTGATTAATGGACAAGCTGTTTTTAAAATCTGATACATATTGTTTAGTGTTTTATCTAAACATTTATCATTAAATGAACTGAGTTAATCAGGAGTAAAGAACAGGAAGATTTTAGATTGTTGACTTAAATTTTCCTCCCAAAAATAAGAAAAAAATCCTAAAAAACCAAAGTTGTTCAGGATGTTTTTCATTTAGCAGTTATTGAGTCAAACCTTTGCAACAAAATAGTTTTTAAATTCACTTTAAGTTGATCACTTTTACTCAAACTTAAAACTTTTTTTTACCAAATAAACAATATCTTCTGATTTGTGCAACATACGTACGAGTTAAAATAAATATCTTTTCTGATAACTGATTCTTTTTAATTTAATTTATTTAATTTAACCTTTATTTAACCAGGTAGATGTCACTGAGATTAAAAATATCTTTTTCAAGAGAGACCTGGCCAAGAACGGCAGCAGCACACAGATATGACAAAATTCAAAACTACAGATATTAAACTACAATCAAATACTTCATGATAAATAAAAGGAAAACCAGAAGGACTCATAAAAGGTAAGATAGGACTAAAATAGAGTACAAAATCAGTTAAAACATTTACAAACAAATGTCTTAAGTACAAGCTGATTAAGATTGGACCTAAAAACATTGAGACCAGCTCCTTCCTTTTTAATATTTTTCAAACTTTAGTGCTTTTAATGAATTATCACGTGAATTCTGTTCATTACTTTTTTGTTCATCAAAAATTTCTCGACTTTTTTTTTGTAAACATCTTTTGTATCCGTTTACTAAAAATAGACGTTACCTCAGAGAGCTGAGTTTATGTAACTCGTCCAGCGGTAAGTTACACAACAAGTCATTTCATAAAACACCTGTTGTGTAAGRAGGAAACCTGAAGAAGCTCAGCGCCGCGCTTCAATTGTCTTCAGGATAAAAGGTGCCTGTTTGTGTTTACTCATCTTTAACACCTGACGTTACCGTACTTTTCCAAAAAGAACCTGCTGGTCTGGATTCTGTTCTGACTCCTGGAAGATTCCAYCACGAAGGAATGAAACAAACCCTGAGTCAGGAGAGCTTCACCACGACCTGAAGATACCGGACAGTCCATTACCGACACTAAACAGGAAGTGTGCAACATTTGAGGGGAATCTTTTGTGTGCAGAACATTTTTTAATAACTTTCTGGGTTACATAACATAATAACAAGCCTGTTATTCTCATTTTGCCGAACTGATTGTGTAAGAATAATGATCTTGTTTTCAGAATGTGTAAGATTATTTGTCTTAGTCTGAAAATTTGACTCAAATTAAGTAAAAAATTTCTGCCAATGGAGTAAGAAAATTTTGCTTGAAATAAGAAAAAATTGAGTCAAATCAAGTATTTTAAGAATCTTACCAAGTAAAAATTTCTTATTCCATTGGCAGAAATTTTTGACTTAATTTGAGTCAAATTTTCAGACTAACAAGACAATCAATCTTACACATTCTGAAAACAAGATTATTATTCTTACGCAATCAGTTCTTGTTTAGTAAATCAGTCTGAAAACAAGATCAAAAAGATTTTTTGGCTGGATATAAGATTTTAAAACTTGGTTAGGTGGACAGTTTTTGCAGTGTTGAGAATTAAAACCAGTGTTCAGAGGAACACTGCCAGCGTGAATCTGGTGTTTTTCTGCACTCGTATTTGCAGAGAGGCTCTCTGAAGAAGAGGGAAACCGAAGAAGTAGATTGGAGTTTTGCACATTTGTTAAAACATCACCAGATGGGTAGTTTTAGTAATACACCACAGATGAATGCCTCATAGTGTTACTACACAAAACAATCTAAAAGTCAATTTTGTTAAAGGACTTTTTGACTCCTGAGGATGGGAGGCAATAGAAATCAGCAGACACTCTGGCACTGCAGAAGGCTTTTACTGGAAAACACTTGTGTGTGCGTGTACGTGTGTGTGTGTGCGTGCTCTTAGGGTCGGAGACTATCAGGAAGTGCATTATCGGAAGGAATGAAGGGTGTAGGGTGGAGAAAATGTTTGGTATTCACAGTCAGCTGGGGGTCCTCGCTTCCTTCATCCCTTTATAAAACGTTACAATATATTCTTGGAAACTCACCTGAGCACTTCCCAATCAAATCCTTTCCCTAAACCATAGCTTTAAGTTTAACGTAAAGTTTGAGGCCTTATTTTTGTCCCTTTATAACATCTGACTTGAGTCCTTTTTCCACTACTGAGTCTGACTCGGTTTGGGCCGGTTTGATTTGATTTGATTTGATTTGATTTATTTATTTAACAGGAAAAGATTGGTGGTGGTTGGGGAGGAAGCCGGTCAGACCTGGCAGGTCCAAACGTGTAGCGAGGGTCTGCTGGGAACGTCTGGCGGAGTCCCCTGTGAGACGGAGCTTCAACTCCCATCTCCGGCAGAACTTCGAACACGTTCTGGGGGAGGTGGGGGACATTGAGTCTGAATGGACCATGTTCCGTACCTCCAGTGGCGAGTCGAACCCTCGAACCCGTTGGTGGACACCTTTAGTGAGGGATGCTGTCAAGCTGAAGAAGGAGTCCTATCGGGCCTTTCTGGCCTACGG